TCCCCCTGGGTAGAGTGCCATGGAACCACAGCTCACCTCCAACTCCTGGGCTCAAGCGAGTCTCCTGCCTCAGCCTCCCAAGTAGCTGGGACCACAGGCGCCCGCCACAACGCCTGGCTATTTTTTGGTTGCAGCCATTATTGTTGTTTGGCGGTCTGGGCTGGATTCGAACCTGCCACCTTAGGTGTATGTGGCTGGTGCCTTAGCCGCTTGAGCCACAGGCGCCGAGCCAGGAAACTTTTTTTTCTAAGCAGTAGATCTCAACTGTGGACATAAAATATTCAGTAAACAATGTTATAAGCAGATTTGCTATTATTCGGGCTTTGTTTTTCCATTTATAGAGCACAGGAAGAGTAGATTTAGCATAAAGCCCCAGGGCCAGGATTTTTAGAATGGTAAATGTGCATTGGCTTCAACCAGAAGTCACCAGCTGCAGTAATCCCTGAAAAGAAACTCAGACCATCAGGAGGTACCTGTGGCTCAAGGAGTAGGGCACCGGATTGGCCCCATATACTGGGGGTAGCAGGTTCAAACCTGGCCCTGGCCAAAATTGCAAAGAAAAAGAAACTTGGATTGTCCTATGAAACTTTGAAGCCAGATGTTAACTTCTCTTCTCTAACTATGAAAGTCTTAAATTGCATATTCTTCCCATTAAAGGCTATTTTGTCTATCTTGAAAATATATAGTTTAGTATAGTCATTTTTATCTTAGCTACATCTTTTGGATATCTTGCTGCAAATTCTACTTCCGAACTTGCTTCTTTATCTTGTACTTTTAAGTTATGCAGACAGCTTCTTTTTTTAATCCTCATGAATAAACTTCTGCTAGCTTCAAACTTTTCTTCTGCATCTTTTCCTATCTCTCTGAGCCTTCATAGAATTGAAGCAAGCTAAAGCCTTGGTTTGAATGAGACTTTGGCTTAATGGAATGTTGTGGCTGGTTTGATCTTCTATCCACCAAAAGTTTCTCTATATCAGCATTTCTTTTGTGTGTTGGCTGAAGTAGCACTTTAATTTCTTTTAATAGCTTTTCCTTTGCCTTCACAAATTGAATAACTGACACAAGGGGTGTAGCTTTTGGCCTATCTTGGCTTTTGACACGCCTTCCTCATTAAGCATAATCATTTCAAGCTTTTGATGGAAAATGAAGAATGTGTGACTCTTGCTTTCATTGAACACATAAGAGGCCATAGTGAGTTTATTAATTAGCCCAATTGCAGTATTGTTGTACCTCAGGGTAAATAGGGAGGTCCAAGGAGAGGGAGTAAAATGAGGAAATGGCTGGTTGGTGTAGTCAGAACACACCCAGCTGTCTTACATGGGCACTCCCCCCCTCAAAAAAAATTATAATAGTAATGTTAAAAATCACTGATTGCAGATTACCATAACAGATGTAATATAATAAAAGAGTTTGAAATATTCTGAGAATTACCAAAATGTGAGAAATGAAGTGAGCACATACCTTTGGAAAAATGCTGTTGATGTAGTTGCCTGATGAAGAGTTGCACAAACCTCCAATTTGTAAAAAATTAAATATGTATGAAGCTTAATAAAATGAGGTATGCCTATAATTTGATGGGTGTGGTAGAGAATGGGGGATACAAGGAAACCCAAAATAATTTGGTGTAACCCAAATCTTGATCAAGTATGACACCTAGAGGCTGTACAAATAGAATTCCTTTGGGTAATTTTTTTTTTTTATTAAATCATTGCTGGGTACAGTACTGCATTTATGGGTTACAATGTACTGATTTTATATACAATTTGAAATACTTACAACAAACTGGTTAAAATAGCCTTCATTGCACTTTCTTAATTATTGCATTATGTGGAGAAAATTTTTTTAAGTTTTTATTTTGAAATAGAAATCCTTAGATACTTACCTATGTAACACTATCAATGAATAACTTTATATTTCTTCAGGTTTTATTATAATTATAAAAACTGATGATGTTAAAAATTGTTTCCCTTTCCATTGAGTAATTGAATTTTTATCACTGCTTTTAAGTACTGGTACTAATCACACGTATGTTTTATCAGTCATGATATGTTTATATGCTTATGTTCTATTATAATAAAAGAGAAAACCCATATTATATATATTCTCCCTCTGTGGAATTTAGCAAAAATAATAAAGGTAGATTAAAGACACCTTGCACATGAGAGGTGATAGGTTTAGAATTGTCTCATTTCTAAATATTTAAAAATTTAATATTTCTATTTGTCAAGGTTTGAAAAACTTGTATTGCCCTGGCTTATTAATACTTGACCAGCACTTTATGAAAAATGATCAATGATTTACTTCATGGCAGGCTGTACAGATGGTCAATTTAATTTGTATCCTTGAGATTTCTCATGACTAAATTTTGACATCATGTCATTAAGAATTTGTCTATTATTTATATCATATTCTAGAAAACAAAGATTGCTACGTCTTGCTATTTCTTGCCATCTATCAGTTTTATAGATAGGATTTATCCAGCTGGACACTATACCCTTCACAAAGGCACATGTATCTGGATATATAGATGAATTTTATCTCCTCAGAGACCTATACATTTTTGTTCTCAAGTGCAATAATGACATTGTTAGGAACAAATATGTGGCAGTGGTGCAGACAGATTCTGTAACCTTGTTCAGAAATATCTTCACTCTTACCAGTTTTTTGTATGTGCATGTGTGTGCACGTGTCTGAACCTCTATGTCTTATATAAATTGAAATTAAAAAAAGGAAACCAATTGATGGCTATTTTCAAACAGCCAGGTGCAGAATATGTCACCCTAGTTGAATATTTTTAATGGCAGCAAGTTTTGACTTAGAAGTTGATCTTGTATAATGCTTGAATTTGCAGCTCTAATGTTGAAACTCTTGACAAATTGAGTAATTATTATATCACCGCAGATAAATACAAAGATCGGAAATCTTAAATTTTCTTTTGATATTAAGCTTTTAAGTATATGTCTGATGGCTTTCGAAGGACTAATTCCCTTGACTGTTAATTTGATTCCCTAGCATCTCTGTCCTCTGTTACGTAATGAATTTATATTTAGTGAATTGATTTGGGGCTTCCCTAAAATGCTTAGAATGGTTATTATTAACAGAGCACTTCCAGTTTGAAATCCTCCCCGTGCCAGAGTTAGAGGATTTCTGGGTTTAGAGAATTAACCATAGCTGAGAAATACAAACAGATAGGAAAACACTTCCTTGTGGAGTGGACCAGGAAGTTTTCCCTGAGAGAACAGAACCTGGGAAGTACTAGCCAGTCCCATTTTCTTCTGCGGTGTAACTGTTGAAAGCAGTGCTCCTTCAGGGGGCCATGCATTAGTGAGGATCAGGCTTCCTTTGTATTCCTATCAACCCCTAATCTTTCGACTGTTGCCTGTTTTTCACCAGTGAAGAAATAGTAATCCACACTAGTTTATCTGTGCTAATCACAGACTCACAGAGCCAGGGCTCTCTGAGCTTTTAATTCCCTCTTAGAGGCCTAACAGAGTGGAAAGTAAACAAAGACCAAATTTGCAACCTTCAACGTAGCTAATTTCCTCTGATGTCAGAATACTTAAACAGGCAGGACCTGGGAATTATTTGATCAAACCTGCTTTTAATCTAATGCATGCAGAAGGGCTGTGTCTGGAAGGCTCTGTGAAATGACAAGTGTCCCATGGGAGCCTTATGGAAGGTTTCCTCTTTCAGAAACAGTAGCTTCCTCATTTTAAAATCTTGGTTTGCTGGGTTGTTGGAGTAAAATTTATAAAAAGTAGTTTCCTGCTTTTTAAATTTTATTTTATTTGGCTGAAAATTGCTGACAGGATGAGGATAGTTTTCTTTGGCTTTCTCTGTGCTGAGTTTTTAATTGGCTAAATGTCTTGATGCTATTTTAGCTTTACTAAAAAATGAATTAATAATAAAAGATTATCACTGAGGGAAAGGGAAAAGAGGGTAAAGGATTATCTGACTTCACACGCATTCTTCAATTACTACTAGTGTAAGAAAATGAAAACACAAAGAACAAAAGACACAAGCCCATGTGGTTCCTTATTTAGATTATGAAAGACATTTTTTCTGCAGTAAGAGTTAAGATAAATTAGTGTAAGGGATATTTTAAGTATAAAATAATTTGGACATATATACGCAATGTTACTGATTCAGTTGGCTCTTTAGTCTTACTCATAACTGTCTGGATCCTTAGATGTAGCATATTTTTGGTAAAGTATGGAAAAGGGATAGATTAGAACGTCATACCTGAAATATAATTTAAAGATTAGGTTTTGTAAAATGTTATCCCTGTAATTAGATAGCATTGTGGGTACTTATTAAATACTAATTCAATTTTAAAGATTGTTAAGATACAATGGACTTTAATTTGTCACAGAAGATGAACATTTCTCACATCTGTATGACACTATATTGCTTTAAGTTAAATTTTTTTTTAAAAAGTGCTTAAGTGCATTTTGACAAGTACGTACGTATCTCCGCTGTCTTATGTTTTTCACAACTGATCACAAATACTGTTTGCTCCCACATAAAGTAATTCAAAAGCCATGGCTTAAAAGTAGATTAAAAACACTGCTGCTTTGTGTAAATATGCACTAAGAATAACATGCCACAAGATCTAGCGTTTGACTCCTTGGGTGACGATGAATATCAATGCCTGTTATTTGTCATTCTGAAACCTGCCGGGTGATGATTCTTTTTATTGGTGTATCCTTCCTAGCATATTTCATGGCACCATGTGCACGGGAGTTTTTTAGGCGGGTACCTCGGAGCTGGGTGTCGCCTGGCTACCCGCTCTCCCCTTTGCTCGCTCCCTCTCTTGCCCTCGCCCTCTCGCCTCCCCTGCCTGCAGCCCCCTCTTGCTCCTCTGGGCTCACGCCCCCCTCCCTCCCTCACCAGCTGGCGGGGGCTGCGCTGCGGCTGCCGCTGCCTCCCAGACCTCGCGGACCTGCTCAGTCAGCTGGGGCCCCCTGCGGACGGCCGCCTCCCGAGTCTCAGGACCTGCCATTCTGCGCGCAATGGCAGCGGCGGCTGCATCCCCGCCGGCGGCGGCTGCAGAGGTGGCGGCGGTAGCCACGGCCACCGCGGACGCTATTGTTCCCTGGTGTTAGTCGCGCTTTCCCTCCTTCTCATCTGAAGCAAACAATAGCAGGAAAGAGCTTTGTTTTTTGTACTCTTTGGGAAGACGTTCCGAGAGCGGAGAAAAATTCCCCGGCGAGCGTGCTGCGGCTCCGGCCCCTGGAGCGGCTGCGGGCGGCATGGGGCTGCGAGCGGAGCGCTCGGCGTCCGGGAGCCGGAGCGCCGCGGGGCCGCGCCGGGGCGTCCTGCAGCTGTCGCTGCTGCCGCTGCTCCTGCTGCCGCTGCTCCCGGGCGCCCGCGGGGCTGCGGCGCAGGGCGAGGCGGAGGCGCCCACCCTCTATCTGTGGAAGACTGGTAAGTGGGACGGAGTTCCCCCTTCTTCCCGTCTTTACACCTGGGGCCACGCCGAGGAACTGGTGGGCTTCTGGAGGACCCCGGTGCTTCCTGATGGCCCGATTGTGCAGGGATCCTAAGGTAAAAAGTCTGACTCCTAGGAAGCAAATAGGTCATGTCCGATGCTAGTAGGAAAGAAAAGCGTAGCAACTAAGAGGCAACAGTGAGTCACGGGAATGATATTTCTCTCGCCGCTCCGTAGTTAATGAGGGCAGCGCTGTACTTCTATAACCAAGTGCAGGATTTTTACCCTCTGGGTTCCCATTCTACTGGGAGTTCATAAAATGTATTTCTACCAAAGAACAGTTTGGCGCCAGTCTATATTCTATCTTTGGGCAAGCAGTATGCTCGCTGTCACGGTATTTGTGGATAGAGAGTTGGATTAAGTTTAGCTTTGCGGTATGTGGGACGCTTGGAAACCAGTCAAGCGAGGGCAGTTCTAACAGTCGAAGGCGAACTCCGAGGAGCCTGCCCGGGATGATTATGTAAAGCTCAACGCTTAATGAGTGAATTGTGGGATTTTAACCGGGTACATCTGTTAGGATATTGGGTTTCAACTTTTCCTTCGATCCTTGAGAATTCTTTTGCTTTGTTCTTCAGTCACCCAACAAAAGCAGCACCTAACTGTCCTCATTACCTCCCGGCAAAGTGTTTAGTGGTCTTGGAGGGGCAGTGACAGGCAGGAAAACAAAACCAAGTGAGGAATTACCAGCCCCGCTCCTGCCGGCACACTTTCTCTGTGCACTAAAACTCGCTGAGAACCCTTCAACAGATGCGAAACTTCACATGCTCAAAGGAATAAGGTGGGGAAAGATTATTCCTGTTGCTTGGAGATAATTAAGAGGTCCTTGGTCATGCCTACACATTAAGAGAAGAACGTGGTAGAAAGGAAAAATATGTATTCAACATAGGATCCCAGACAAGTTTCAGAGAGGGGGTCTCTTTCTGGACGTCAGCCTGTCCCTGCCCCTTTGCTGAAGAGACAGATCAATCAATCCACTTTACAGTTGCTCACATAACCTGAATTTTTAAAGAAGTGCTTCTATCCAGCGACTTAGTAAGGAGAATAATCAGAAATTTATTAAACCCCGAGTACATAATTTGCCCCAGAAAATTGCATGAAACACAGACACATTTAGAAAAGCAAAATCATTCTTGCTAACACGTTGATTAATGAATTCAGATGAAATTAATTTATTTCAATTAAAACAAAGCATTGAAGATTCTAATTTAATCAGAGGCATCGTAAAACTATTTAATAATGCCATTACATGTATTATTTGGATGCTTTGTGGAGGGCTTCATAGGGAAGTTAGTGTTGGACAAAATAGAACTTGCCTAGGTAGAATATGTGGCATCAAAGTAACAAAAGCCAAGCAGTAATTCAGATGGAAAAGAGCCTCAGCAACATCCGCTGGGCAGCATCGGAGGTGCCAAGATGTGTCAACATAAATGCGGTGGTGATGAGAACACAAGCCAATAAACAGCTTAAAATAGTGGAAAGCTCTTAGGAGCAAGGATTTGGAGACCTTGACTCCAGCTCTTGCTAGCTAAAGGAATGTTGGCAGATCACTTAACTTCTGACTCCTGATTTTCTCAACTGCATGTAAATGTGATGATACTTTTTTCTGACTATGCACGGTGTTGTGAAAAGCAAATAAGCAAGTTATGAGAAAGTGATTTGTAAACTGTAAAGCTATGAGCAAATATAAGGCAGTATGATGAGGATGATAATAATACCATTTTATGGTGCTCGTGGGTGGGCTGAAAAAATAGTGAGTTAGGGAACAAGATGATGACCTTTTTATAATCCCCCCCACCTCCTGAGGCAAAGGAAAGTTTATCATATCTGTAAAGAAGTTGAGAGTGGTTCTCAGAAGAACTAGGGAACCCTTAAAGGAAACAATATACTGTAAATGACAACATAAAGGTGACAGAATCATGAGCGTTCATCACTTCATGGAAATAAAGAGGCAGGGAGGGCAATGGAGGAGAAAAGAGGAGAGGCACTCCAGGAATGCCTGTGCCAGTATGGAGAGCTTGATCTTGGTGCAGATTTTAAGAAGTCACATTAATGATGAGATCATGAATTAAAACAGTGTAGTGAAAGTTCCACTGGATGAAGAAATGGGATAACATGCTGTATAGAACTTTGGTAAAGTCATTTAATGGCTTTAGTCCTTTGTTTCCTATTTTATAATATTCAGTAAATAGAAACAGTTGTATCTAGGGTCTTTTAAATTCTAAGGTGCTTAGCAAGTATGAATAAACACACAATGAATATGCATATATGTGCATATATACACACATATAGTGTATATAAGGTTGATCCTTGAATAATATGGGGGTTAACATATAACTTTGGATTCCCCCATATCTTAATTACTAATAGCCTACTGTTAATGGGAAGCCTAATTGATAACATAACATTGATCAATATGTATTTTGTATGGGATAAGTATTATATACCATATTCTTACAATAAAGATGTTGAGAAAATTACAAAGAAGAGAAAATATATTTATTATTATTATGTGGAAGTGGGTCATCATAAAGGTCTTCATGTGCTCATCCTCATCATCTCCACACTGAGTAGCCTGAAGAGGCAGAGGAAGAGGAGGGCTTGGTCTTGCTATCTCAGAGGTGGCAGAGGCTGAAGAAAATTTGCATGTAAGTGGACCTATGCAGTTCAAACCATCATGTTAAAGGGTCCACTGTATATATATGTATGTACATACAATGTGTAGACATATAATGCAGACATATAATACAAACATATATAATTTTAAAATATACATAGTGCATGTCTTATAATACATGATATACTGTAATTAAAGTTTTATTGCATCAGTTCACAACAAAGAATTATTGAGGACCTAAAATATATAGTCACTATGATGGAGGCTGAATGGGACATCGTCATCTCTGCCCTCAAGAAGCTCAGAAGTGAACAAAACTGTAAAAACACAACAATTATAACACGGAATACCATATATATGAATAGAACACTGTGACAGAGGCATGGTTATGTAGCTGATACAGGAGGTGTGGGGGATTGGAAAGAGGAGTTAATCTTTTAAGTGGGTCTTGAAGAATGAGTTGGATTTTTACTGAGAGAGGAACAGAAGGCCATTCTAAGCAGAGGAAAGAGAGAAAATAAAAACGAAAAGGTGTGACTGTATTCCTTGATTTTGAAAGTACCAGTTGTACACTGGAGCTCAAGACTACAATGAGGGGTAGGAATGAAAAGATTTAATGCCAGTGAGGTGAGTTGGGACCAGAGTATAAGTAAATTTTTGAACTGTAGTAAAGATTTTTCATTTTAACCTATAAATGGTTGGTAGCCATTGGGAATTTTAAGCCTAAGAGTAAGTTATTTTTTTGCCTCGATTGCAGAGAGAGGGATCTAGAAGCTGGGAGGTCGGGAAAGTGAACAACTTACAAAGGGGAGCAGACCTAGGACCAGGAAAGTTACAGTGGAGAGTAACCAGATACGGGCTTGAGGTGACATTGCTGTATTAGTCCTCCAGTAGCTAATGTCATCAAGTTCTCCACCATGCCTACACCCAATAATTGAAGTAGAAGGTATACAAGAAGGAAGAATAGATTTCTTAAGGTTGTAAAAAAGAATATCAATGTAATTCAGGTATCTTGAACTTGAGGTAACAATGATCTCCTCAGATGAAAATATCTAATGGGATTATTAGTAAATGGATGATTGATTTTGGAGAAAGAAGTAGCCTAAAGGTTGAAGGTTAGAATTCAATAAATATACACTATTTCAAGGCATAAGAGTAATGAAAATACTAAAAAGAGGAGGCAGGATACTTCTCAGAGAATATTGAGATATAAAGTGCTGTAATAGGAGAGAAATTAGTGAAAGAGGCTAAGAAAGTTTATCAGTAAAGGTCTAAGGAAAATAGCAGGAGGCATTAAAGGGATTTTATGAATGGGATGATGACAAAAAGTATTAAACAATTTAGACAACCTAGGAAAAGGATTGTAACCTATTTCAGAAGACATCATGTGTGATCAAGTACCTATCACAAGACAATTAGCTGTTTAGGCAAAGGAGATTTTAGATAAAGTGGTAGAGATATGAACTTGATTGAATAATAAACAAGATAGTGGAAAAGATATGGTATTGATAAAGTTGAATAACCAAATGCTCTGTAAGTCTCTGTACTGCACTGTTGTTTTGTAATAGAGAAAAGCCCTAAATTTAAGATACAGAAAAATGTTTTTTACAATATACAAGATTTAGGGTTGGGCTCAATGGCTCACACCTGTAATCCTAGCACTCTGGGAGGCCAAAGCAGGTAGATTTCTTGAGTTCAGGAGTTCAGACACCACCCTGAGCAAAAGCAAAACCCTATCTCTACTAAAACAGAAAAAGCGCAATGGGTGTTATGGTGGGCACCTGTGGTCCCAGCTATTCATAAGACTGCCCAAGAGGATGAGGTTGAACAATAAACAAGATAATGGAAAGGATATGGTATTAATAATATACGGTATGTATTGATGAGGTTGAATCCAAGAGTTTGAGGTTGCTGTGAGCTGTGATGACAGAGGACTCTACCCAAGAGGATGGAGTGAGACTATGTCTCAAAAAATAAGTGAATAAATAAATATGTAAATAAATAAGTAAATAAATAAAAGTCTTATACTTTTGTATCACTGTCATTTGGAAGGTAACTTTGTGTGACTAATTAGAAAACATAACTCATATACAAAGAAGTATAGCACTTATATTATTGGAAGATGAATAGCTACCGTTACTGATATGTGTTAAAGAACTTTGCACTTTTTATTATTCTAGTATATGATATTATTTCTCTAATACTTATGGTTAATTATATTCACCTGGAAATTCCAAATTAAGAATGTCAATGAGTTGAGCAAAATGTGATTAACTAAGCAATAGTCAAACAAAAACATTATTGATTATCTCAACTTTTATC